TGTGCTGGTAGGGGATAGAGTCGTCCTCTGTACTGTTCAGTATTTTATCATTAGCAAGCCAATACACAACCAGATCTTTGGGGTAGAAGCTTTTCACATAGCAAGTCAGGGTCACCTCTCTCTCCTGACCGTGCTCTGGTGGAGCGAGTAAGTAAACGGAGGGACACGTCTTTTCTTCTCCTAAGAACATGAAATCACAGTAAAGATCAGAAGAGACATACTTTGAAATTTTTGTTCAGAACTTGGATCATGCTGAAAAAAGAAAGGCTAGTCATTCAAATGAGAACTTCCACATAATAAAGCCCTATTTGAGCTGGATTATTTTCCAGGTTGTGTAGGGTGGTGTGTATGATTTGATTGATTGAGTTTTGGATAAAATATCTACAACATTAATCTGAATTGCTACATATAGGCTGAAATTAAAGGTTATGGCCTGACTGTTGATGTCAGCCTTACACCAAAAGTCAATAACAATATCAACACATCACTGGACTGTATCTGTTAAGATGGTTTTGTTATTGTATTAGTGTGAGGTGAATTGGAACAGAACTGTTGTTACTGAGGGAGCTGCAGGTTCAGCAAATTACAGAAGACCTGTCACTCCATGGTTATTATTATCAGACTGTAAAACTACACATGCTGCAGATTCATACTGGATTAAATTCACTCCACAATTATAACTACACACACTGCAGATGCATGATGGATTAAAAGAACTCCACAGTTGTCAGTGTCAGACTAAATGCTACGCACTGCAGATTTATGCTGGATTAAAGTCACTCCACAGTTATTATTGTCAGACTGTAAAAACTACACACATGCATGTAATTTGGCTGTTTCATAGCTTCACACAGAGCTTTGGTCAAATAAAAAAGACAGAGGGAAAAGGATTCCTACCGTTTTTTCTACTGTATGTGTAGGTCTTCTTGAGTTCGGCGAATAATGTGTGTTCCACCTCACAGATGTATTCTGTTCCTTTGCTCCAGTCATGGTAATCAATTTTAAGAATAGCTGTGAATGAGGAACCGTCAACCTGTCCCTGGACTTCAGATGCAAGGGTTTGACCATCACGCATCCACCGAATGCCCTTGAAACCTGGACGTCCCTGAGCATGGCACTGAAGCTCACCAACTCCCCGGACCAGCATGTCCTCGGTGGAAGGGGGAATGATTTCTACCTTTTCGGTTACATCCATTGATGTTGCTGCATGAAAAAGAAAGAGGCATGGAAAATTTGGAAAGAAGCAAACAAGTACCCATATACTAAAGGAATTTCTCATCCAATTTTGTAAGCTCAAATCTAAATGAAATAAAGTCAACATTACACACTGAAAATTTGAGTAATTGAGAACAAATATGGCATAACTGAATTAAGTACTAAAAAGTATTGAGTCCAGTTTTACAAAGAAAAAGCATATAAGCAGCACAGGTAAACATACCAAATGAAAGAATACGTACGTTCATATTTAGCCTCTTTGGTAAAGGTCTTATCATGATGCTTGACTTCACACTTGATTGTGGAAAGCGTGTCCACCCATTCGCTGGCCAAGATTTCCAAAATGCTAATGGCAGTGTACATGGTAATAGTGCTTTTCTCCTCAGTTAAAATCGTTGGCTTGGCCCGATCTGTGATCTCCCTTTGATCAAGAGTCCAGGTAAGTTTATATTCTTTAGGTGAGAACTGACTGGCTACGCAGATGAAGGTAGCTGTTCCATTGTCTAAGTCCGCTTGAGTGGGAGTTGTTAGAAGCAGAATTGGAGCCTGCACAGGCACAGCTGGAAAACAAACAAACATAGAGATGTATGCAGCAGGTAGCACAGCAGGTGTTGCAGTCACAAGCAGGAAGTAGGCCTAAACCATGTTGCCACAGTATATGAAGGTCACAATGTTGCATAACATGACTTGACTGGCCAATTACGGGTAAGATTAACGTGGTTCATACAGTCCCATCTGTTGATGCCACAGCACACGTCTGATACTGTGGCAACCAGCAAGCAGGAAATCACGAGCGACAGAGAAAACAGGGAACAGGAGTTCTTTAACAATGGCAGGAAAAGACCATAACATAAGCTTAGGAACCTGATGGTGGTTAAAATGCTCCAGGCTGCATGTATTATGTACGCTGTTGGGGCAACAAGCCTCAAAGACGTTAATATATACATGTTTCTGTAAAACAGATAAAATCACTCCGCGACTTGTGTGATGACTTCATGGGCTTACAGCTCCATTTCAAACCCCTGTTCCAATTGAGGATGGATGCTTGTCGACCTAGTCTTGCATATTTAAGAAAAAGATTCATTCAGTCATTGACATATTACTCTTATTGTGGATCTTTTCCCATTTCAGGTCAGCTTAAGTTCTTGCAAAGTTTCAGTTAACTAATATATATAAGAGTTCATTCAACACTGTAGGTCAACTCAATTTTACAGATCTCCTTTTTCTTAATCTGGTTTTGGAATATATATATATATATACATATATATATGTGTGTATATATATATATATATATATATATATGAGTTGTGTTTATATAAGTAGTTGTGTTTATATAGAGTTTTTCCCTCAAATGAATAGCGTGTAAGTGTGTAAGTGGATGTGTTTTGTTAACGCATGGAAGAATTTAAATATCCCCAACTGTAAGAATTTTCAACCGAACTGCAGTTTCATAATTCTGCTGCTGTTTATTTGGTGGTGTTGATGGTGTGCTGACCCTTGACCCCTGTGCCCCTGTGCCGTGTGCTTACATTGCTTTTTCAGTTCGACTGGTTTATGTTTTGGAGTTCCTGGATGTTCCGCCTCACAGGTGAACGTCTTCTCCGCGTTCCAGTCAGTGGCCTTGACTCGCGCGTGGCTCACCGCTGTATAGGTGCCACCCTGCTGTACAGCCGGGTACTGCACCATGTCAGTGACGCCGCCGGTCCACTTGAACTTGAGCGGCTCGGCAGGAGTGAAACCGCTCGTGACACAGCCGAGAGTGAGGAAGCCATCAGAGGAGGGGGCGCACGCAGACACACCGACGAGAGATTTGGGAGGGGTCTGAACACCTGTAGAACACACACACACACACACAAAACACTCAGCGCTGTAGTATGCTTTATATAAAAGTCCTTCTGTAAGCTGTAAAAAGTTAATAAAGTGACACAATTTTGCTTTCATTTTTTTGCCGAATAGCAACAAATCTTTCATTCTTTTGACGTTTTGTTTGTTTGCTCAAAAAGTTAAGGCAGTTTAAGAAGTTTAAGTTAAAAGAACCAAAGGATGCACCTTAAAAAAGCCAGTAACTTGAATAACACTAATTATTCTTTTATTAAGTAAAAAAAATAGAAATTCAGTAATTAATTTACTAAATCAATATTTTACATTTACGTCATTATAGTTTACGTTAACTTTTTAAAGTTACTGCATTTTTGAAGTGATCATATATATATATATATATATATATATATATATATTTATATATATATATATATATACATCTCAGGGCTGTATGATGATTAATATCACATTAATTAATATGACCTTATTTAGTTAAATAAATTATTTAGTAAATTAATAACTTAGCACTTTACAGAGTGGCCACCCGATGCTGACCAACATTTAATGATCGCTAAATTTTGCTAATTTAAAGCCAGATATAGCTATATATTCATAAGTGTACAAAACAAGAAAAATACCAGTTAAATGCATCAAACTTTACAGAAATATTGGTTTAGTAAAAGAGTTGTATAGGGATTGTTTTAGTTATTGAATGCAAAAGATTTCTCGAGGCTTCTCCGGTCCAGCATCGCTATCATGTCGGAGAAGTTTAGGCTATTAAACTGACTTTGCTGAGATGAAGAGAGTGGAACACGGACAGCACCTACATTCACTACAGAGTCTAACACACAATGCATTTTCATTTTTAATTTCAGTAAAAAAATCGCTAATAAATATTGGGTTCAGCGATTCTTTGTTTTGTTTCAAACTATGGTGTAATTATTAATTTTCGAAATCTTGTGATACCACGCACTACTTGTTTTTATTTTTCAGTTATTTATCTTCTCCAAAAACATGTATTGTGCGCTTTTTCCATCTTTTATTTTTAGCGAATATTACTGTTTTATGGTTTAATATCACTGAAAAACATCATATGAACCTGTTATTATTAGTAGTATTAGTATTATTGTTGTTGTTCGCAGTGTAAGTATTAATATTAATATTATTGCAACGCCTAATTCTTACAATCGGATGAATTGCAAGTCCTTGAAATATTAATAAGACACCTTAGTTTGTTTTCTAAGATTTTGTTTGTTTATTTTTTATTTATTTTTTAAATAAATGATAAACGGAGCACAAACAGCAGTTGAATGATCATTGTTCGAATCGACCTGATGGCATGTCACTGTTTTTCTTTTGTTTTTTGTTTTGTATTTTTTCCATCCGCAATATTTTTATACTACAGTAATACAATTCAAAGCAAGACATGATATACACAGTAATTAGCTACTAAATTATTACTTAATGCATAAATAGTTAGGATCTCGCGCTGAAAATGACACTAAAAACGAACTAGCATTAAAAAGAATGAACATTATGCAGGCTGCGTCAAACAAACAAACAAATACGATTAGTCGATTAGCAATTTGCAAATTCTGTCTGTACGCTAATGCAATAAACCTATGACAAAAAAATCAAGATTAAATTTTTCACATAAGAGCAGAAATTAAATTTAAAATTGCGACCCATTGACGAGCAAATGTTTCAGCATCAGCTTATAATTTTTAGACAATGTAACTGAAATTTTTAGACAATTTTGCAAAACTATGTCAAGGCGATCTCAACTGTCACGTTCATTTTGGCATTAATCGGAATATCTCCTTTTTGCTTTTCCGCACTGTTTAATAAAGTACGACATTAAAACCTCCGTATTCCCATCAGCACACGTAAAATAAATGCCCTCTCAACAAAATCTAGAGAATTTGCTTTAGCGTTTGCTTTGCCACACATTCATCTACATTTAGCGTCAATTTGAAAATATATAATATCTATCAGCAGTTAAACGGACCAACAGCCTTGTTTAAAAAATCAAACTAATGAATCTACAGTTTTTCTGAACGGAATGAATAAGACGTTTTCTTACCAGATGAGACGGTGACCATCGTTCCTTTACCCCAGTAGTCAAAAGCACCGTCACAGTGACAGACAACAACTCTAACATCGAGCACAAACACTCGACAACGCCTGATCATCTATCACGATATGATAACGTTCAAATATTCTACACTTACATTAATATTATAGCCTAATAACTTCCATTCACTGTATGAAATGGATAAGTTATTTGTGAACGATCCTGACAGGAGACTTCTAGTATATTAATTACAAAAAATGATAGCAGCATCTTTATGAACACCGTAATGCTGATCGATGTTAATATTCTTTTGCCTCAGTTAAACTAATTTAATGATATTTATTTGATTTCTTAGTTGTAATTTGAGTTCTAGTTCGCGTTAAACACATTTCAGTCACTGATCTTCATCTTAATGTATCGTTTTGTCTGCATTTTAAAGCGAAGACGGACAAACTAGGCTTAAACATTTAAAGTGCGATTTTCGCAAAATTTAGAAAAATTAAGTTGTTAGCGTTTAATGTAATTCGGATCAGTTTATTTCTTACCTGAGGTCACGGTCACTGAGGTTCCTTTACCCCAGTAGTCAAAACGACCGTCACTGTGACAGACAACAAGTCTAACATCGAGCAAAAAGACTCTATAACGCCTGATCATCTATCACGATCTGATAACATTTAAATATTATACACTAACATTAATATTTAAAGCGAATAACGCCCATTCACTGTATAAAATAAAGTAGAGGTTTTTGAACCAGAATGAAGTCTGGTCAAAGCGATATTAAATACAATAAATAACACCAGCAATACAAAAACATCTTTATGAGGACCGTAATGCTGATCTGTGTTGACTTTCAGAGCGTTTCAATATATCTTTTAATAGTTTAATGTACTAATATGTTTATTCAGTTTCTTAGTTGTAATTTGAGTTGTAGTTTACGTTAAGCACATTTCAGTCACTGATCTTCAGAATAATGTATCGTTTTGAGTGCATTTTAAAGCGAAGACTGACAAACAAGGTTAATTATTTAAACTGCGATAGTCGCAAAATTACAAGATTAAATGATTAGCGATTTGGATCATTTCTTACCTGAACTCACGGTCACCATTGTTCCTTTTCCCCAGTAGTCAAAACCATAGTCACAGTGACAAACTATCCCGCACTGCCCGCACAATATACTGTTCTATAGAGCTGTAGCGCCTTGACTAAAGTAGCCCAGACTACAGCTTTGCGTTTTGGCGCAAAGTAATAGAATTCTACTTTATTGATTTTGCCGTTTAGTGTCTGTTTCTAATAAAAGTGCCTTCTTACCTGAACTCACGGTCACCATTGTTCCTTTCCCCCAGTAGTCGAAAGCATTGTCACAGTGGAAAACTACCCAGCACTACCCGCACAATAAGCTCATACAACAGAATTCCGAGCTTCGCCTAATACCGCATAAACTGTACATTTCTTTCGTGCAAAATAACGCGGTTTTAAAGTTATAATTAAAACGTATAGTGTCTGTTTCTAATGAATTCGCTCTTACCTGAAGTCACGGTCACCGAGGTTCCTTTTCCCCAGTAGTCAAAAGCCCAGTCACAGTGACAAACTACTCAGCACTACCCGCACAATAAGCGCATACAGCAAAGTTCCGAGCTTTGACTAATATCCCATATAACTTTACGTTTCTTGCTCAAAATAGAGCAGTTTGAAAGCTGTGATTTAGACGTGTAGCGTCTGTTTCTACTGAATTTGTTCTTACCTGAAGAGACGGTCACCGATGTTCCTTTTCCCCAGTAGTCAAAGTAGTCATCACTGTGAACAAACTGACCAATTCGCTGTGCAAAAACAACTATTCTGCCCAAGACAGTGTCTACCTTCTCCCTCTCACTTAAGACAGCGCTCCCTACCCCAGCGCACGCATTTCATTCTTTCAGCACTGAAATATTTTAGTGCAGGCTGGAAAAACGTTTGGTCAACTTTCTCCAAAAATCACAAAAAAGCCCCCTAACGCAGAGAAATGATAAACAGGACCTACTTACCAGAGGTAACGGTGACCTGCGTTCCTTTCCCCCAGTAGTCAAAGTAGGTATCACGTTGGTTGATTATGCAGAGCAATCGATCAAAAACTGCACACAGACGATCAAATATGCCCACATTTAATTGAGTTCAATCCCAAAGTGCAACAGACCGCCTAATGTTACGTTACAAAACGTAATATATTTTAACAGCCTCTATCAATAACCAGTGAGCAAACAAACAAACATACAAGAACCCTCTCTGAGAATATCAATGAAAGCAATAGTTATCACTGTCAATATTTGAAACCAGATCTCTTCTCTACCATCTGCATTCCATTCATCTACAGCAGCACTGAGTTACTCTCTTTCTACAACTGTTAGGTAGCAGTAAAGTAAGACTTTTATTCATATATTATTTTTGTATCATTTTATTCACTTAATGTGTTTTATTATGTATTTTATTATACATTTTATGTATTTGTATTATGTATTTTTATTCACTGATGTGTAAAACCACATTACATTTCTGAATTATAATTATAATTGTAATATATGATGATATATTACAAACCCCATTTGCTTAAAAGTTGAGATAATGTGATTAATACAAGAATCTGTGTTTTGTGAATTCTCTTTAAACTTTTTTTAGCTGATGAAAATACAAAAAAAAGACTTCCAATGTTTCAACTTAATTGTATTTTGTAAATATAAACTAATTTAGATTTTGATAAAAAAAAAAAGTTGGGACAGAGAGATGTTTATCACATCTTCTTTCCTTTTAATTACACTTATTAATCATTTGGGAACTGAGGATACTAATTGATGCAGCTTTGCAAGTGGAATTTTTACCCATTCTTTTCTAATACAAGACTTCCGCTGCTGAACAGTCACAATGCACACACTCTGTGTCTATGAGGCCACACATTTGTAGTAAGTGTAGAATGGCCTGGCAGTGTCTTGCTAAAATTACCATGAACTTCTTGGGGAAAGACATCGTCTTCATGGCAGCATATGTGTCTCTAAAATCCAATATACATTTCAGCGTCGTGCTACCTTCAAACATATGCAAGTCACCCATGCTGTGGGCACAAATCTGCCATACCATGGCAGATTTTGCACCTTTCACTGATAAAAGTCTAAATGGCCTGTTTATTCTAGGCATGGAGAGCTTGATATCCTTTCTTCTCAAAAACAAGCTGAAACCTGGTTTTGTCTGAACACAGCACACATTTCTAATGTCTTTCGGGCCATCTGAGATAAGCTCGAGCCCAGAGGACTCGGCAGTGTTTCTGCATAGAATTTATGTATGGCTTTCTCCTTGTTAAACAGAGCTTCAAGTTGTATTTCTAGATGCAGTGGTGGACTATGTTAAGTGACATTCGAAGTACTTTTCCAAGATTTTCTGGAGTATTCCCGAGCTTATGTGGCTATATTTAACAGACTAGCATTACAGTTTCTCATGCACTGTCATCTGAGGGCTGTAAGGTCACACACATTTAACAGAGGTTTCTGGCCAATAAGGACTGAGATTTGCCTGAATTCCCTGAATGTTTGCTCACTATTATGTATGTTAGCTGGTCAAAGACCTAAATTCTTTGTGATCTTGTATTGAGAAATGTTCTTTTTGAACCTTTTGACAATTCTATCATGGGGTTTGGCACAAAATGGTGAGCCACAACCCATCTCTGCTTATACAAGAGCCTTTGGTGGATGCTCCTTTTTTGCCCAATCATGACACCCTCACCTGTTACCAATTCACTTACTTATTGTGGAATGTTTCAAAACAGTGTAACTTTAATATGCTATAAACTTTTCACTCTTATTTTGCCCAGTCTTAACTTTTTTTAGTGTGTTGCAGGCATCAAAGTCAAATTTTGTTTATATTTACGAAATACAATCAAGTTGGTCAGCCAAAATGTTAACATTTCTTTATACTTCTGTCAGTTAATTAAAGGTTCAAGAGAATTGACAAATCACAGATTCTTGTTTGCCCATGTTTAACCAGCCATTGTTGGTTAGCTAGCCAGATATCATGGGCTTCAGTTCCTTTCATGTAATTTTTATCAACATAACATTATAATTTTTGAGAAACTGTAGCACACATCGAAACAGTAAATTATTATAAAAAAATAATAAAAAGGCATGGCTCAATCTCTCACTTTTACAGTGACTTGAACTTGATGCATGTCTCTTATAATTGGAGAAGGCTGTTAACCTGTTAGCAGTCTGCTGACCTGGTCAGCCTTTTTTTAACAAGGGCAGAATGTAGTCCAATTACACAAAACAAAGTGTAAAGCAGCTGCAGGCTTGACACTGAATGTGGAGAAATTTGAATGGGATTAGACAAAAACAAGGTACCTAGGATATTGGCTAGGAAATAGATTAGTCAAGCCACAGGTTGAGAAGGTGGAGGCTATCAGAAACAGTCCCTGGCCTCACACTAAGAAGCACATGTAAATCCTACCAAGTCTTGGTCCAATTGTATCAGTGTTTTATTCTACAGTTTGCTACTATTATTGCTGCACCACTGAAAGAACTGACCATAAGGTCTCCAAACTCAGTTTACTGGAGAAGTGTGAGCAGTCGCTTCTGATTCAGAGAGGCATTGGGCTCCAAGCCAGTTCTCAATAGGCCAGACCTAAACCCTTCACAGTGCTGTCGGAGGTAAAGTCATCATGATTCAAGGTAACGAGATAGAAAAGGAACTTGTGTTGCACCTCAGCTGGATGGTGTCAAGAGAGACAAGATAATCCACTGTGGAAAGGGGAGCTCTTGAAATAAAGTCTGCTTTAAAGGTATTGCTTTCCTAACAGGCTCCTTGAAGTGTCCTCACCAAGGATAAATACTCACTGGCTGGACTCACTGGTTCATGAGCTAAATGGTTCAATCAACTTTAACTGATGTCAGCACTACCTGAAGCTGAGGCTTTAGTTACCCTGCTGGATTACTTTCTGAGACTAATGAAAGTCCTTATAGATCCTGACCATTTTCTAAATGTGCAATAAAGCATTCTGACCAACTTTTACAAATTTCTGTACTGATCCACACATTTCATTACTGCAGCCTCACTTCCACTTCACATGTACAATAACTGCCAAAAAGCCAACAGCATTATCTCAGACCCCTAAAACCACAGCTAGTTTTTTTTCTGCTGTCTGACAAGTGGTACCCCTGCATCCTGCCCCAGACCACCAGACACAGGAACAGTGTTTATACTCAGACTGTGAAACTGTTGCCACCAACATGCTCACTCTCTTAACTGTGAATGCCAACCTCCTTCTTAACTCCTCTGAAATGGCAAAATTACTCAAAAACTCCTGAGCTGTATGCTGCTCTCTGGACACAAGTTGACTCTTGCTGTCTGGCAAACTTCACAGCTATGACGTATTGTGAATTCTGTAGTGCCATCATTATCAAATCTAAATATTGCCAGACACTCACACTTTATGATAGACACATAATCTCACACACAATCAACACATATACACATTTCAAACCAAATACAAACAACATTAACAATAACACAGCAACAGCTATTGTCTTTTCTGTTGGGTGGGGGGTGGCGTACTTAGTACAGCTTTGCATACAACGCCCCCTGAGCTCCTGTTGAGCATGTGGTGGATGCCATAGCCACAATATTTCACAAGTCTTTGTGTCAAACTAAGTTCCTTCTGGGTCACAGCTCTGCAGAGTTTAGTGTTCCTCCTCTTTAAACAAACCAGATTCAACTTATCAGCTAATTAGCAACGTTCAGAGTGTTAGAAGGAAAATGCTAATTTCTTCAGAGCTGTGGGCCAGTTTGTCAACTCTACTTATGCACATGCAGAATACACAATTTATCTTTCTAAGTCAAAACAGTCATCGGTTGGATGTGTACTACTGTCCATTGCTGTAGTGTTGCTCTTCATCATCCTGTTTACCTTCTACCTTTAGGTTTTATGCTAATAATATTATTTAACCCTTGTGTGGTGTTGGGGTCTGTGGGACCAATTTTCAATGTTTACCAAAAGAAAAAATTAAGCGATTTATTATTATTTCAACCTCAGATTTCTTGGCCTTTGCTCATTTTCTGTGAAGAACATATAAAATAACACATTTTCAGTGTCTTCACTCTGTTCACCCCCCACACATTTATATTACACATGTGGTGTTGGGCTGAACCCGCAGGGAACAAAAGTGTGGAGGTGCTGTGTCCCTTCACTCTGTTCTCCTCCTACATGGCCTGCTGTTAGTGTGTGTGTGTCTGTGTGTGTATGTGTTTGTATATGTGTGTGTGTGTGAGGATGGACAACATGGACAGGCTGCTGACTGGCTACAGCTGCTAAAGGAGAACCCTACGCTGGACGCTGTGATATTTTAAACATCTGGTATTTTTTCATAAATTGTTATGCCTGTATTGATTAAAAGAAAATAATAATACGGTGGGTCCACCAGACCACTGAGTAACAAAACCATACACTGCACACAAAGGTTAAACTAAAAGCATGTTTCCAAAAATATTGGGACGCTGTGCAAAATGTAAATAAAAACAGAATTCAAAGATGTGCAAATCATTTAAACCCTATTTTTAATTGACAATCACATGATGAAACTGAGAAATTATGTATTTTTTTTTTAAAAAAAAAACTTCTGCCTAAAAACTTCTTTCTAAAAAGCTGGGACATATTTACTGCTGTGTTGCATCACCTCTTCTTTTTACCAGCATTCTGTAAGCATTTGGTAACTGAGGAGTCCAACTGCTGTAGTTCTGGAAGTGAAATATTTTCCCATTCTTGCTTGGTATAGGATTTCAGCTGCTCAACCGTTCATGGCGGCATGTGTTGCTCCAAAATCTGTATATATTGTTCAGCATTAATGGTGCCTTCACAGATGTGCAAGTCATCCATGCCATGTGCACTAATACACCCTTATACTATCACGGATGCTGGCTTTTGAACTGTGTGCTGAAAACAAGCCAGATGGTCCCTCTCCTCTTTATCCTGGAGGTTGCAGCATCCATGATGTCCAAAAAGAATTTAAAATTTTGATTGGTTGGACCACAGGACACTTTTCCACTTCGATTCAGTCAATCTTAAATTAGCTCAGGCCCAGAAAAAGGCGGCGGCGTTTCTGGATCCTTTTTATATATGGTTTCTTCTTTGCATAGTAGAGTTTTATTGGCATTCTTGGATGCAGCAGCGAACTGTTTTCACAGACAGTGGCTTTTGGAAGTGTTTCTGAGCCCATGCAGTGATTTCCACCGCAGAATCATGTCTGTTTTTAATGCACTGCCACCTGTGGGCCCGAAGTTTCAACATTTGATATGTTGTCTTTGTACTATTTTCAATTAAATATAGGGTTTAAATGATTTGCACATCATTGCATTCTGTTTTTATTTACATTTTGCACAGCGTCCCAACTTTTTTGTTAATGGGGTTATACATTGTACACCTACGTATATGTATAATGGCAGCTAAATTCAAATGAATTAAACTGATTAGAGGAATATTCTCAGACCTTTGCTTGCACCTCAAGGAACTTAAGACAAAGAGAGGATGCATCTAGTTCTCAATGTGTTAAAGTGTTTCTCAATTGAAACTTAAGAAACTTCTAAAACTATGCAGATTATAAACTTTAGAATATTAGATTATCCACAAATGGAGGGTGCCAATAATTCTGAAGGGAATGGTTTCAGTTACTCTCCTGCTAGAGATATAGTGGGAAGTGGAGAGCATCTAAAGTTTCATCAGGAAACACCTGCATTACAGAGGACAGCATTACATTTCCGGCCAGCTACTTAATATTACATAAACAAGCCACACTAAACTTACCACGTTAGAATCCCTGTATTCATTTGCAAATGTTGAAAATGAATACTAAATAAACACATATGAGTTACTGAATTACTGGGTGGTTTAGCAGCTAAATAATGCTGCATACATGCATTCATGCAACATTCAACACCTTTGTCTACCAACATCGGCTACTTAAACCATCTAAAACTGCCAAAGCCTGTAAACTACCACATTTGGTGAAGCTTACTGTTTTGTGTGGTATTTTCTTGAGATCAGGGTCAGATCTAGTCTTTTGGGGGCCCTGGGCAGGATATTTTGGAGGCACTCCCCA